GTGTTATAATTGTATTATAGTAATATCTACAATAATTAAAATATTATGGTAAAATCTAGCTAATATTTACAAAATGTCTCTTTTTTCTCATAATTTCATTTTCACTTGATAATGCATTATTACTAGCAAAATGATTTTTACAATATACAGGGTGATACACGTTTGCAACACAAAGCATGGAGATCCTGATTATACTATGTTGCGTTTTCTTTTGGTTTTATTTTGTTTGTTTCTACCAGAACACTACGTAGCAGCTATCCGAAAACGAATCATCCTGTATTTTATAAAATCAATCAATATTACAATACATGCACACTATACTCTGTAAATATATTTATAAGTATGTATACGTGTAATAAAAAATAATTGCAATAATAATAATTAATAATTAAAAAAATCATCACATATGTACACATTTGAAAAATGAACGTTAAACGAATTGGACGAAGCCTGCATATATACATAATTTTTGTATATCATTAATAATAATTATTATTATCGTTTAATTAATGTTAATTGTAGTAGTGGTTGCGATATCAGTTGCATTTCTTTGCTTGTTTTCATCGTTATTTATTAGTTTTAGATAGTAATACGTATTTTGTGTATAAATCTTAGCGTATAACTAATTTTTGTGTACAGTAATTATCGCAATCTTATTATTGTAACACATTGAAAAAAGAAACAAAAACGATTATGCCCATCACAGTATTTAGCTTTTTTCTTCAGTGATTTTTCTAAAATTATTTGCAACTGTCAAGGCCTATGGAATCTGAAAAAAAAATGAAGCATTAGAAACAACAATATTTAAAATAAAAGTACCTCTATTGAAAGTTGCAGTTTGCAGTTCACAGAATTCATATTCAGAAGTCCCTCGAGAAATTTTAAAGTATTATATACTTATTGTACATTTTCATTGCATGACCCACAGAGGATTTTTAAAATTTGCTCACATTTATGACTTGAGTAAATTTTTCACTACTATTCACACTATATCATAAGGTAAAGAAACACAATACCCTTAAAGATTGAAACAATTCCCTTAAATTTATCTCAGATTGGTACAAAAAGTCACATATTCCCAGTATTAAATTATCCCTTAAAATCCCACTAAAATCTCTTCATCTAGATCATCTCTACCACCTCTCCTCTGACCAATAGAATTTAAAGTCTTGTTTCTGATTTTTATAACTTCTTTACAACACATTAAACGATCTGTCTTCTCATTTTCCCAATAATGTATCTTATACATCCATAAATCTAATCGTAAGTCTAAGCTATTTTTTAACATTTTATTTAGATATAGTGCACCCTTAACCATCGGCAAATTTCCTTATAACTTCTACTATACATTAGTTGAATTCAAAATTGCCCTCTACTGTTCACTGTTTGTTTCGTATCCTACCTAGTCCATCTAACTTTCTCTTAATATTCACTATGGATCTATTTTCCATACATCCAACCTACTTCAATTGCAGTAATTCCCGAGATCATTTTCATTATATCTTTACCCCATTTCGATGGAATGGTATTCAAAATTAATCTTATTTCTTTTGGAAAACGACTTACCATTGCTCATTCTAAAAATCCCACAAAAATATTTATGTACCCTTTAAATGAAAGTTACTCTAATAAAGTTAATCCCCAACTAACCCCTCTACTTAAGTAGCTTTATAAAAAGTTATCGATCTGAGTAAACAGTTCATTAAATATTACTCGAAATAATTTGTGGTGTATTTATGTGATTTGTTACCTTGTTAAATGTCGACTTTCTTCGTGCACAGCCATTTCCGAGCTTTTGAACTCGTTCAGTTCTTTTCTTATGGCGGCCTTGTCCTTTGGCGTCAGCCGCGTCCAAGGTTTATCCGCCCGCCGATCGTAATCGTGAGCCTGCGTTACTTCGATGTAATCGTTGAATCGGATTATCTTTTTTTCTTTCAATTCCTCCACTGTCGGTCGAAAACTCAACTTTCGCAACAGGAAACGCTTCTTCTCTTCTTTTGACTTCTTTTCTTCAGCAGGAGTTTGTCCTTAACAAAAACAAAAGCGTGCAATTTCTTTGTTAATACTTCCACTAGCTACCTTTAAAGATCTTAACAGTCACTAAATTGCCAAGTTGCCAAAAAATGGAAGAAATCTTTAAAAGGAATATCAACGCCCTTCCCATTCTTTCGTAACTTTATTTTCACACAATTACACTTACTTTTCAATATATTCCTCTCCTCGAGTTCTTCTTGAGTAGGACGCATGCTAAGCCTCCTTATTAGTCTGGCCCCAATTGCTTCCTTGCTTTCCTGTCGTTCTGCATCACTCTGCAGCTTGAGTATGTTCCGGTTGATGAGATCTTCCCTATCAGGTCGCAAGGACAATTTGAGTGACAGACTCTCCTTCCGAGCGATCTTTAGCGCAAGCCTGTTCTCTTCAGAAATACCGCTGTCATCGTCCCTGTAAAGGACCGGACCATCGTTGGAGTCGCTGTCTGGGTCTTCCCTTATCACGTATGGTCGAGTGTTTTCCTTGTTCTCTAACGTGCATGGGAGTCCCAGACCAAACTTGACAGGTTTGGTGCTACAGGAAATGTTATAGTATAAAATCAGTTTTTTTTTTTTAATATTTTATTTTGTTAAATCATGATTTATACGCATTAGAATGTGTCGAAGAAAGTACTTTTCTTATTTTCTTATTATCTCAGAAAGCATTAAACCCAACAGATAAACCTTTTATTAAGGTTGGGACGTGTCTTATCGAATTTTAAGGATTTTTATATGTTTATACATGTTATCATAAGAAAAAGAACACTGTTCCACCCAAATAAGGGTAGTTTTGTTGAATTTGGTTTCAGCTCATTTTGTGGGCAATAATATTCTTTATAAAATTAATTGAATCAACTTTATAAACTCTGTAGTTTTTAAGAGATCGAGAATTAAGAAAAACCTAATTACTTCTTACTCAATATTCAAATAGAGGCAGTTTAGAGCCAATTAGGGAGTATTTATTGTTACTGGAGTATTTCATGGGTTATTTTTACAAGTCGTCCATTGAGTTAGGCAACTTTACATGCCTTAATCAGACTTTGTCTAGCACGTGAAATACTTTAGTAGCAGCAAGCTATCAGATGGCGATATACTGCCTCTATTTGGATACCAGGTAGTTCTTTAGGGTAAATAAAGAGATCGAATCTAAAAAAAATCGCTATCCGCATCTGATAGTTGATAAATTTCTGACCATGAATTATGCGTCCTTACCTATTACTCCTAAATGTGATTAAACCACTTCGGTATTTTGTATTTCGCGAACCACTGAGAATAATTTGGAGTAAAATACCCTCCGGTGAAATTGAGGAAAGTTAGAAATTTTTTTGAAGTAATTCTTGATGGGAAACCATAAAAAACCATGAGATCTAACTCTTTTTACCCTACAATAATTTGTTGCTCGAAAAAAAAAAAAAATAAGACAAAGTTGATTTTTTCGACATATCCTTAAATATGTAAAATTTAGTACATATATACTAACAGTAAGATGTGAACATGAAAATGGAAATAAAGAAGAAGCGGTGTGTGTATAACGAAGGAAATTTTATTATTGATTTTGGTGATGACTGTTTCTAGCTTTTAAAAATGAAATATATCATTTGCAAATGATGTTTTAACTAGAGCAGGCAAATTTTCCAATTGGATGCTTTGAAAATACATATGTATGCATTTATTTTTCATGCTTGTTTATAGTTATAGTTATAAAAAATCATACAAGAAAATGCATACAAGAGGGGTGAACATTTGAACAATTAGCGACAGACTGATTCAATTAATAATCTTTTTTTAATATTTACCATATTCTAATCCGGGGCCTTAAAGGAGGCCTCCTGAAGCAATAACGTAAAAAATAAAACAATTAAATCTCAATTAGTTCATTTTTATGTCTATAAAAATAATCAATTACAACCTAAAGGTAACAAGAGAAGGTAATTGTAATATTTTTTTGAAAAAAAAGATATTACTTTTACATTGTAGGACTTAACATTCCTTCCCTTCCTTAACTTTTGTGTGTAAGTTGTAATAAAAAATTTTCTCTACTTTTCATTAAATATTATTGTATCATATAGATACTTACTTAATACTGGAATTGTGGTCGCTTTGGGCTTGTCGTACGCCCAACGGTCGATTTTCTTGCGTGGGTGTGTTTTGAGGAGTTCCTGGTCCGCTTCCGGTACTTCCCTTCTTCTTGAGCGCCGACTTCAGAGGCATTGCATTGAATTTCGGTTCTTTCGCCGGGATTTCTTCGATTCGCGACGTGTCGACCGATGGATCTGGTTGTGACAATCGAAAACCATATCGATCCTGGTCGTCCACGTCATCATCATCCACGTCGATCGATTCGCCGTCATCGTCTTCGTCATCTTCATCTGGTGTACATACGAAAAAAGGTTTAAATGAAAACCATACGCACATGATGTTTACGTATAGTCCTGTTAATGTTTACCAGTTCAACAGTCTTTTCAAGTATTTCGCTGACGTTGGTTGCAAGATGAAAATTTAAATTGAAAATAAAAAGTCCGTGTATATAGATTTATATTAATGTCAGAAACAATTTTGAAATTATTTCAGATTGTAATTAAAATAATGATTACAACAGACAATAATATAACGATGACACTAGGCTCCATTATCAAAATTTTCTGAAATGTTCATACATTACAAAAATTTAATAAAAAATGAATTAATCAAACTAAAAAGAAAAATACTTTGTGCTGTTTTGGGTTTAGAATTTCAATGTTAAAGTAAACGTAATATAATTACATTGGATTGAATTATATTAAAAATGGGATATATCTCATGTATCTATGTTTTGATTTCACTAATTTATTATTCAGTTAATTAATGTTTTGAAATATAAAAAACATTTTCAAAGTTTTAAGATCTCACGATCGCTAAGTAAAATTAAAATTATGTAACAAGAGTGAAAAAAAAAACATTAATGAAAAACTCACCCTCGTAGTCGTAATTGAGCATTTCTGGTGGCAAGGGTGTCTGTCTGTGTGGGGTTGGACTGGGTGAGCTGAACATAGGTGGGGGTGGGATTGGGCCAATTTCCGACAGTGGGATCGGCGGCTCTGGCAACTCCGACAACATGAGGCCAGGGGGCGGCATTGCCGGCGGCGGTAAACATGGAGGGGGCGGGGGATGCAGATGCCTTTCGTGTGGGGGCGGCGTACCGCTCGCTGGGCCGTGCGGCCCTTCTGCAACTGCAATAATTCTATTTGTATCGTATATTTAAGCAATTTTTCAAAGTTACCACCGTTGGAACGATAAGTTTGTAAGTTTGCCCATAAAATTGTATTTTACTTACAATTGGATTACATTTTCAGATACAAATTGAGCAAAGGCTTCGGGAAAAAAAAATAAAAATAAACAGATTTCCATGGAATATAGAGAAAATATATTTTGAAATTAAAATTGATAGATAACTGGTCAAACATTTTCTTAGAACCTTGAAGAAAAATAAAAAGATACTGTTTTAAGGCTTATTTTCAAAATTTTTTTGAAAATAAAATTAATAACAAATATTTATATATTTTAATGGACAATTTTGCGGAGCATTCAAAAGAATTTAATTCAATTTTACATTTATTTTCATTAATCAAATAAAGGATCCTTCTTCATTCTCCCTTGTTCTCTAACGTGCATGGGAGTCCCAGACCAAACTTGACAGGTTTGGTGCTACAGGAAATGTTATAGTATAAAATCAGTTTTTTTTTTTTAATATTTTATTTTGTTAAATCATGATTTATACGCATTAGAATGTGTCGAAGAAAGTACTTTTCTTATTTTCTTATTATCTCAGAAAGCATTAAACCCAACAGATAAACCTTTTATTAAGGTTGGGACGTGTCTTATCGAATTTTAAGGATTTTTATATGTTTATACATGTTATCATAAGAAAAAGAACACTGTTCCACCCAAATAAGGGTAGTTTTGTTGAATTTGGTTTCAGCTCATTTTGTGGGCAATAATATTCTTTATAAAATTAATTGAATCAACTTTATAAACTCTGTAGTTTTTAAGAGATCGAGAATTAAGAAAAACCTAATTACTTCTTACTCAATATTCAAATAGAGGCAGTTTAGAGCCAATTAGGGAGTATTTATTGTTACTGGAGTATTTCATGGGTTATTTTTACAAGTCGTCCATTGAGTTAGGCAACTTTACATGCCTTAATCAGACTTTGTCTAGCACGTGAAATACTTTAGTAGCAGCAAGCTATCAGATGGCGATATACTGCCTCTATTTGGATACCAGGTAGTTCTTTAGGGTAAATAAAGAGATCGAATCTAAAAAAAATCGCTATCCGCATCTGATAGTTGATAAATTTCTGACCATGAATTATGCGTCCTTACCTATTACTCCTAAATGTGATTAAACCACTTCGGTATTTTGTATTTCGCGAACCACTGAGAATAATTTGGAGTAAAATACCCTCCGGTGAAATTGAGGAAAGTTAGAAATTTTTTTGAAGTAATTCTTGATGGGAAACCATAAAAAACCATGAGATCTAACTCTTTTTACCCTACAATAATTTGTTGCTCGAAAAAAAAAAAAAATAAGACAAAGTTGATTTTTTCGACATATCCTTAAATATGTAAAATTTAGTACATATATACTAACAGTAAGATGTGAACATNTAGAGATAGCTTTAAATAAAATGGATGCGGTACTGACAGATCAGTACTGTATGAAAATAAATAAAAGTAAAACTAAAATACTGGTATGCAAGGGAAGAAAAGGTAGGGAAAGGGCGAATATAAAGATAGGAGACGAAAAATTAGAAAAAGTGGCTGATTTTAGATACCTAGGAAGTCAGATAAGTCAGGATGGAAGGAGTAGTAGGGTTATAAAGCAAAGGATAGCGCAGGGTCGTGTCGCCTTCAATAAAAAAGAAGTCACTTCTATGCTCGCGAACGGTAAATTTAGAAATTCGAAAAAGGTTGTTAAAGGTGTATGTTTGGAGCACGGCGTTGTACGGGTGTGAAACATGGACAGTGGGAGCGGCGGAAAAGAAAAGGTTAGAAGCGTTCGAAATGTGGTGTTATAGGCGGATGATGAGGATATCGTGGGTAGAAAAGGTTAGAAATGAAGAGGTATTGGAAAGAATAGGAGAACGGAGGACTCTATGGAAGTCAATAAAAAATAGGCGAGATAGGTTGGTAGGAAACCTTCTCAGGCATGAAGGTCTAGTCAGAGACATATTAGAAGCAGAAACAGGAATTAGGAGGGGTAGAGGTAGACCTAGATTAGATTAGATTCGAAAATAGTTAAGGATGTGGGCTGTTCTACTTTTAGGGAAATGCGAAGTTTAACTCAGGATAGGAAAGAGTGGAGGTACGTGTCCAACCAGTCTTAGGACTGATGACCTTATGATGATGATGATGGTTACAACAAAAATTTTATTAATTGTGTTTAAACGTCAAATAGTTGCTTTCTACTTTTCAATTTGTTTTTATTTTTTTAGAACTCAATTGTGTAATTTTCGTCAACTTATTTCCGCTTTAAACAATTCTACGAATCCAATCGTAGAAAATATTTCATTCATTCATTCATTATAAACACAAAATATAAATAAAATTTTTTGAATACGTATTAATACACAATCGCAAACAAACTCATCGCTGTCTTCATCATTATTAAAATTCTTACAGTATAAAATTTATTTATGACTTATTTGGGCATTCCAATTAGAAAAATTGCCATTTCTTATTACCATGCCGTCTCAAAAAAATAAATGTTTTTATTTTTAAAAATTCACAACAAAAAAATAAAATGAAATGAAATTAATATGCATATTCATTAGAAGTCCTTCAAACGATTGATAAATGAAATTGTTATCTAACAATTCGCCTATTTTCCGACTAAAAACTCCGCTAATTACACAATTACAGTACTAATTAAATAATCAACCGCAAACGGATTAAATAATGTTCGTCATTAAATCATTTTAAACAATCGCGTTATAACACTTACTAAATATGTTATTCCACAATAACAATGAGTAATTTTCCGCTTTCATCATTCAAGTCGGAAGCTTTTCAATGAATAGAAAAAAACAACAAAACACATCTGATCTGTACACGCCGACACCAGCGCGCAAAACCCAAAACAAAAAATTTAATCGCCGCCTTTACTTCACACTTTCACTGTCAATTAATGCGATAAAATTTAATAGTTTTATATCAACACAGCGTCTGTGATTAATTTCATAATGAATAATAATTATACGTACACACCACCGAACGAATAATCAGAACGTTGTAGAAATAATACAAATTTTTGGAAACTACGCTCTTGTCGAATCGTACGATTACTTGTGTCGTGAAACAAAACAAAAACGTTTAAACTTTAAACCACGCGAGGAAAACGAATGATGTGGGTGGGTTTTGCGTAAAGGCATCTCTGATGCTCTACTACACACTAAGCTACATATATACAGGATCATTCATGAATTATGTCTATATTTTTTTCTGGGTGTCATTCAAAATTTGAAATCTGTCAAAATACGACATTCTACATTTCAATAACACCTGTTCCGGTTACATTGAAGCGGAAGTTGTTCAGGTGAACGGGTCAAGGGATAGAGGGGGGAGCAGGTGAGACTCAATATTTTTCTTTCTTCCCTTGCTGTGTAATATATTTGTACTATTAAAAATTGTTTTGAAAAGATTAGCCGGCGAGTACGTTCTAAAAAATTTCAAATTTAAAGTGGATAGCGTTAGCTTGTGTTCCTATAAATAATCGTTTATAAAATACAGATAGACGGACAAGCACCGATGTTTTGCTATAAGAATTTGTTTTTTTTACATTCCTGTGAAAATTTCATTCATTCTCGATAAATATGTACAGAGTAAATGATGTTTCAATTTAAATTTCACTAAAAACCATTGAACAAATTCTTTTTGAAGGCGGTGTTAAAGAACAAAACAATTTTGAAAACAAAAACATCAGTTTTACAAACTCCGTATTATTTACTAGAAAATTCTGCTTTAAAATAATACGCACTGAAAAGAACAAAGTATGAAATTAAATTAATTGGAAAGTAGTTACGTACAGGCTTAATTATTAACCGTCTGACCGATGCGAACCCCTATCCGCTTTTAAATTTCTAATAGATCGACAACCCTATCGTTAACGACTTTGTTATTGTCAGTTACCTCTTCCACCTGAGAAAATCGCAGTGTGGTGAAGTAATTATTGTGGTGAAAATAAAATTTTGTAACTTACACGCAAACAGTGGTCGACATCGCGGAAATAAATCGACGAAAACCATTATTACAACAAAAAGTATCCGACAAATACTATTGTTTTTGGTTTCTAAGTATTGCATATACAGAAATTACATTTATCGGGTTTCAAAAAAATAAAAACTTATTCAAAAGTAAAAAGCAATATTAATAAAATGTTCAACCAAAAAACGAAAATTTAAGTAGGATAATAAATGGGAAATTGTAAGACCAACGCGGAGACTGTTTTTATACTAGCAAGACCAACGCCGAACGAACAGGACCAACATTAAAACCAAGACCAAATATGCAAAACAAAAATTAAAAAAAAATAAACTTTACCACTGTTTGAAAAAAGGATCTACAAGAATGTTCTTGGAGTAAGTGTTCTTTGTTCCTATATCTGGATAACACATGGGTGGACTATAGAGACAAATAATTTTTTTTTTTTCGATATTTTTTACTTCTGTTCTCGAGTTTTCAGAATTCGCAAAATTATCGACACTATTTTTTTTAAAAGTCATGACAAGCACGCATGTATGACAGAAAATTTCAGCATTTAAGACAATTATTGGGTCGGTAAATAAAAAAAATTGTGATTAGAAGAATTGTTAAAAAAAACGTAAGTATCAGATTAAATAAAGTTAGATCAAGACCAATACAAAGACCGGAACTGTTTTGGTCTTGGTTTTGCTTTGCTCATCATTACAAACATAGGCAATAATGCTCAAAGAGTAGTATCATTTTTTGAAAAGTACAACGTAACTTAACCAACGATATTTTTATAAGAAATACATTTTGACGACTATGCAAATCTTGATATTTCACCAACATTTAGTTAGCTTTATTTTTTGATCAATAAAATTGTTTTTTAACAGTATATTTCGTCTTAATTTTTTTTCAACTTGGTTAACTGAATTTATTTTTGTGTAAGTGTCTGTCAATTTCAATCAGAACCTTTAAAAAAGAGACGTTTTCCTTCATAAATTTCGAATGGAAT